AGGGAGAGGGAGGGAGAGGGAGTGGGAGAGAGAGAAATATATTTCCATCCCAAATTTACTTCTGAAGGGGATAAAAATCTTCAAATTTAGGTCGAGATTAAACCTTTAACCCTACGTTTACTGTGTGGGTAAAATGGTTTTAAAATATAATTCTGGCAGTTCGTGTTATAGCTCATTAAGCCTTTAGCCTAGCACTTAACCCTATCTTAACTACAAATATTTTTAAAATGTACAACAAAATATTTAATATACCCCCCTTCCCCACCATTAAAGGATTCGGGCTCTTAAGAGACCTATCTTCTCCCTAAAATTAATACAAATTTACAATAAACAAAAATATATTGAATATAGCATTTACATTTATAAATTAAAATAAAATGTTCATTACCTGCAAATAGGAACAACTATATCCTCAATTAGTAATCAAATTTCCTCTATTTTGAGTACCCCCTATCCCCCTTGTAACGTCCCTGAAATGCGCCATTTAAAATACATAAAAATTAATTATATAGCAGTAACAATGAGCTGAATTAATTTTATTTGCTCTATACTAGAATTTAAGATAATTAAAGACAGAAATAATTGATGATGCAAACTGCACCTGACAATACAATTGAGGACTATTTTTAAATGAGAGATGCGGATGTGAAAAAATATATCACCACACGCCATGCACATTCAGTTGTGGATGATGCATGGGCCCTAAGCCAATGTACTGTGCCAATTTAATAGGATTATAGAGTATACTATAGATTAGTTTTGAATATTTTCTTCACAATCTATGAATACATTGATGAAACAATAATTCCTCAAATTGTAATAATTATAACTTTCTAATTTATTTAAATAATTGTACTTGATTTGTTATTATTTTAATGTTTTAGTGTATGGCTTAATAAAAGAAATTATTTCAGTAAATGTTGAAAATATCAGCATTACATAACACTAAACTCCGACCCCCCTAACCTTATGTAACGCAGCGTAATGCTGCCTCAAACCACCTTCCCACCTCTTTACCATTACGTAATTTACGGCCGACCCCTACGAGAGAATTGTATGGTTTGGAGAAAACTGGGAAATGTTTCTTAGAATTGAATAAGAATAGAACAATTTAGTCCACTCTTTTTTGAAGGTCATATACTCCATTTTATAGAACTTAACTAATTACATGAGATTTGTTTTAAATAACCATGAAGAAAGCTACTCTCAAAATAAATAGGTAACAAAGAAATAGCAAACCATTTTAATATGAACAAAGGTTGGATAGAGAGTGAATATATATTCAGTATATTATACTTTTGAGAGAAAATGATTTCAAGTGCTTTCAGTTTAGAAAATTAACAGTTCATGAACCAAAACTTACGAGTGGTACTAAAGTTCTTTTTGAGCTATTAGATTAAAAATTAACAATGATTCAAAATGAAAAATTAAATTTTGTAAATAATATTTGCCCTTAAAAAAGGTAGGATGCTTGGTTGTCACTTGGGGCAGTCCCCTTTCCTGCTGATGCTACTAAAAATATGTCCATACATTGAAGAAATAAATGGAAATTGGTCTGTAGACTTGTTTCCAGAAGAGTAGGTTGTAGCGAAAAGATAAATTGGTTGTAGTGATAAAGATAGTTTGAATTCAATGAGAAAATTTATCAAGGATTACAATAAGTAAGTTCTGAACATCAATACAAAGAGAAAACAATAATTTCCCATTGGAAGAGAAAGGGTAGATCTTCAGGTATTGCCAAGTATTATAATACAAAATATAAAATTTATAACTCTATACTATATAACTAATTAAATATATAAACTATCATTTTGCATTCAAAAATAAAAATTATGGTTTTAAGCTTACATAAATAATGGCAGTACCTAATAAGCATGTTATATTACCTTTTTTCGAATATGATATTTGAAGTCTTGCTTAAGCATCTGAGCTAAATCAGATGCAACATCAGGCATTACAGGATGTAAAGTTGCAACTAATCTTGCATAAAATGGAAGAAGATCAAGTCGAATACGCGGTACATTGAATAGCGTTCTGTAACAAAATAGAATCATTAGGTAATGTCTAACAAATTTAGATTTATAATAAAAATACCTAGAACGAGTGAAAAGCAAGAAACATTTCAAGAGAGTTAGATATTTATAAGTTTTTCATTCTAAATCATATTTACTCTGAAAAATATTAAACAGTAACAAAATTTGACATAGCCCCATTTTCTTCTTCTTATACAATTACTTTGTTACAAAGCTATATTACATATTAACCTCTAAAGATCTTTGCGAGTTTAATTTCAAATGTGCTCTGGCAATGCATGTAAGTTTGATAACTGCCTCATGGGCACTGTTAGTAATATTGTAAACTGAGGTACACTTTTTCTTCCATCTTGTTAAACCAGTTGTAATAGTATGTGTCTACCAAACAGGAACTCACAAATTCAAAAAATCTTTTTTATTGCCTTACTTATTGTAAAAACTTACATATTTTTATTCAGGATGGAATGCTTAAGGTGTTCCCTTTAGATATCTTTTGCAATATAGAAGATATGAAGATGTAGTTTTCACAAAAGCAAATTGATGAAAGCTCTTCAGCAGGATCAACTTTTTACCAAAAAAATGACTACAAACATATCAACTTTTATGAATGGATCAACTGTTGATGGTCATAAAATTGTAAGAAAAAACAAATTCAATGATTAAAGTAATGCTTTGTGAGATAATTTCTTATAAACATATATTATAAAAATTCCACCAGTAGGCATTTATCATGTGTCTGTTTTGGTCAATTGTGCATTATCTGCCAAGTGAAATATTGCAATGAAGGCCTCAACATCATCTTTAAGAAGGTATCACAGTTTAAAATCTCTGCAAATGCATGGGGTTGATACTGACACTACCAATCACTGAATTTGTTTTTAACTTTTTATTACTATCCAGAGAAAATGACTAATTCCATTAAAACAAAATTGTATTAATATCATAATAATAGAAAGATACAGATCAATGGCTTTTAATTTTCTATGAATACCTTGCATTGACTCACTTTAGAGGAAAATATATCCCAAAATTTCAACAATTCAAAAACAAGATTTGAGTGAAACATCTCGTGTACGCCTACCTTGCATTGTACTTAATACATTCCTGTTTCAGTACTTACCTTAGATACTTCTTAACAAAATCATATCATATTCGCAATAAACGAGAGTTTGTTTCTTATTAATTTAAGTTTGAATTATTAAAAAATGTTCATTCATTTGTAAATCAACAAAAAGTAATTTAATTGTAGTTCTTGATGCCTGCAGAACTGTAATATTTCCCTTTATGATTGCATAAAGCTGCTACATTCACTATGGTATGTACAATGTAACCCAAATCCTCAATGTGTAATTTTACCTTCATGAATGAGATTCTTTATTTTACTTATAATGTGAAGGGGAAAAGGAAAATGTATTCAAGCTTATTTTTTTCATTGGATTTAGAAAAATATTTTTCTATTTTTTAGGAGGCCTTAAAAACAAAGATACATATATTTTTTTATCACAAAAATGAAGTTTATTGTTTCTTCACAGATTTCCTTCCTCTAAAAATGCTATCTCATCATTGAACCGCAGATAAATTCATAATGTGTAACCAATTTTCTGTGAATATAGAAAGTATACCTCATCTATTTCATCTAATTCTCTCCTTTATCTCTCTAAATGCTTTTCTTATAACAGTAAAATTACTACTGATTGTATATCCTGAGTTATGATTATATCTGCAATTTTGTTAAGGTTTTTGACAAACTTTTCTTTATTATTTAACCGGTAAATTTAAATGTTTGTATAATTATAATGATTGAAATTATAGAATTAAGTATTAAAAAAATAGATACAAATAAATAAATGGTAGTAAATAAAGTACTGGAAGATTTCTTGTCTGCTTGGGGTGATATGAAACATGACATTGATTCTCTTCTCCTAGTATCTCAACAATTGAATCTAACTGTTGTATTTCCAAAATTTTCATGTTCAGAGACGTTTCCAGGTTTTCTAGAGCCAAAATTCTGATTTCCCAGCTCAATTTTCTACACAATTTTTCCAATTCATAGCTATTACTTGTGGGACAGAACCAATATTTTTTTTCTCAATTAAATTCCAAAAACCAGAAATGTTTGATGTCTTTACTTGAAACAATGTAAGTTCAGTTTGTACCACAAGAAATAGCTTTGAATCAATCACACAACTATAGCTCAAGAAGTTAGTTATCTCCTTTTGGAAGGGGGCATTCTTTGCCTATGATTCCCCCATCTCGTCCAGGGAGGATTTCGCAGTGAAGTCAGATAAACCAATCGCTTCCCTTGACATCAATGAAGCTTTGGCACTTTAACTTAAACATAATATTTAGGTTCTTAAAATATTCATGAACTCAAAATGATTTCTCGTGCCTGTTTCCAGCAAGGTCTGCTGGTCGCAGAGCATGGCATAGAAGCATCAATGAACACTTATCACTTTATTTTCCAAAAGAAAGATCATTGGCATCTCCATTTACTACAAAAAAAACAACAACAGAGTTCAGAATTCAGCCTATACTAGAAAACAATGCTTCAACGCTTCCAAGAAGTCACAGTAATTTAGAATGAGATGACTGAACAGTTGGAGTGGGTTTGACAGTGGGTTATCTTTTACTGGACATCTTTTATTTCATTAGATTTTGAAGATAATGTTCACTAAGGGTGGGCTACCAGGATCGCCCAAGGGCTCAACCAAACAAGAATGCACACATAAGCTTGCGTAAGAAGGGAATCAAAGAGAGTAATGGGAGGGGAACCTCTCTCCTCCCCAAAATGCCCACATGCCCAATCAGAGGGAACTTCGTTAGTGGGTTACCTTCAGTGGTACTACAACAGCATATACTTTCTTGCATTATTTGTAACTTTTGAAATTATTGAAAATTCAGAGATTTTTAATGAAAATCACACCTTTCTCATTTGTATGTGTTGTTGTTGTTATGTTTAAAGTAAATTTATTTTCTATTTGTATTTTATAATATAATAATATATATATATAATATATATATATTATATATATATATATATAACTATATATATATATATATATATTATATTAGTATATAGATAGTAGATAGATAGATAGATTATACACATACATACATACAAGATAGAATATAAATTTACTTTAAACATAAAAGTTCCCAAACATGTGCATTTCGCAGATGCAATTCTTGAAACATATGAGATTTCTACGACACCTCATGGGAATCACAAGAAAAGGTAGAATAAGAAATAAAGACATCAGAAAGAAATTGAAAACCAAAGGTTTAGTAGAAGAGATAGAATGGTCTTAAAGGAGATAGAAACATCGTTTACAGAGAATAAATAACAACAGTTTGCCAAAATTAATCTGGAAGTACAAACAAGGAGGATCAGAGAAAGAGGCACACCACTGAAGAGATGGCAAGAGCAGGACCACTTGGAAGACTAATAATCTATCAAGAATACTATAATAAATCAACAGAAATAAGCAGTAAAACCTAATTTCTGTGGTTCATGATGATTATGATGATGAATAAAACATTTTATAACACATTATTTTCAAGAATTCTTATTTTTTAGCATTTGGCCTAGTTTTGAGCTATCAGTCTATATGTCCTTGTATTAAAGACTGAATCATTATCATCAAATAAATAACGGCCAAATGTGATGTACAGACCAGTTTGTGGCAGACAAAGGACATGGAGAAATTTACAAAGTTCTTAGTGAAATGGCTAACCTTTCCTTTGTTCTAATGGGACACCTCCAGTTAATGGTCAACAACAATATTTTGGTTACAAACAAACAAAAACCTCTCCTCGAAGGAATTCTGTTCAAGCAGAGTCAATGTAATTAAAATGCAGTTAAAGCCGGTCGGCTGATTAAGTATTGTGTAAGAGATATCTAGCTACAAAAATACATTAATTATAATTTAAAATAAACAGTGTGAGCTGACGATATTAGAAGTGCTCTCCAGGTTCTATGTAAAGTGGATGCTTTTACATAGCAGATGTGATTTAAACAAAGGAGAGGTGGGTCAGGGACTGCATTGCATTCTCACTGTGTACTGTATCAGGTGACAAAAGTGAATGATTAAAATATACATATTGCTAAGAAATAAACAATTTATTTCTGGTTCGGCAGTTGACAGGTTGGCAGCTGAAAGACTAGATGTTATAAAATACACTGAACCTGTCTTTTCTTTTATTCATTTCCTTTTTCACTCTTCTTAATATGACAGAGAACACAACAATTTTCAGCTTAGAAACTTGTGAACATCTTTTAAAATATTCGAGAATACGAAGAGAAATTTCAATAACATTCTTGGCCACAACAGATATCTTGACCGACGCATACTGTGGTCATTCCTTCTTTGAAGACAGTCAGCTCTCCTTTCAACTGATCCTTTAACCTAATAAAACAAAAATTCTAAGCCTATGCATTAAAGGAATAGATAATGAAAAAATCTTCCACAATGTAAAAATGTAGGTTTTCTTTACAAGAGATACACATGTTTCAGAGATTATTTTACCATCTTCAATGATTTGCCAATGAACCTGGAACAAATTACACTAATTGTTTCTAAACACCTCACAAACATGATACATGTGATGAACATCATACATTGATTTCCAACAAACATACATGAACATGTTCATGTGATCTCTTGCCATTTTTTACAAAGTGGGAAGATTATTTCATAGTTTATTTCTTCAAAATAAAATTGCTCCAGATTTCTGCCAAAACCATCAAAACAGTACATTAAATTTACATAGTGCTCACACTACAAATACTCATTATGTCAGCAATACATTAAATTATTTAATTAAAAAAGTTGAGATCGTCTGTAGAACAAGTGCATATGCTCATTTTATTATACATTCAAAATTTGACCATATTAATTTGCAAACTTTTACAAAAGATACAAAAATTATTTACATTTTAAAAATTATTATACACAAAAATTTGGAGTATTAATTACTGTTAGATGTCTATGTTTCAGTTTGGAGGTTGTGGCCTTGGTCAGGACAATGTACTAAAACTAATAAATCATTACATAATCGTAAAAGAGGCACAAGAATAAACAACCTTAACATTACGGGATTAAAACTTGTATTACTTGGTTACCAAAGATGTAGAGGAAAGAAAGTGTCAGCAATGCATCAACAAAAGTAGTACATATTTGAATATAACCTTGTGACCCACAATACACTAGTCTTGAGCTGTGCCAAGGAATGCAATCCACTTGCATTATCAATTTTGACGTGGACTGTGAGCACCAAGATTGTTCACAAAAGAATGTTGTTCTACAGTGTATTACCAATGATATGCAGATCGTAGAACTAACAGTGTGTCTTTTCAAAGAATAAACAAAGACAAATCTGTTTTCTTATAGTAGGTACCTATAGGTTGAAAAATACAGAAATGAAATTCAGAAGGAATTATATTACAATGTTATAAATACTAATGAGTTTCTCTGTATCTTTGTGCAAATTTATAGTTCGGTCATTATTCTTGATGTATAACATTTCTGAAATAAATATTTTATAATGGTTATTTTCTATAACTACTCCTTCCCAATCAAATCAGTGATAAAAATCTAGCATGTGATTAGTAATTACAGTATTGTAGCCTTCAATATTCCTAAACATATGAATGGGTTCTTTAATTCTATCTTCCTATACAGCAACATTTAAATTATTCGGTAGAACATTGTATGTTGTGGTTTAAATTCAGTTTAAGATTATATGGAACTGGATCTTTAATATTATTAACAAATTTAGAAAATTGGTGGGAAGGAGTAAATGAGAACCTAACGTCATTAGCAAATGTTTTTTTAATTTAGATGCCAGTCTTTTAAAATATGGAAAGGTTATATTGATTAAAGAAGTTGTGTTTTTAGTGCTCAAAATGTTGTTTTTGTTAGTTTGGCCTAATATTAATAAATTTATTGATAAATGTACTAGGGTAATAATTGGCAGACAAAATCATTCCGATAATTTTATTGTTTTCTCTGAGGAAGATTGTGAGAGTCCTATTCCTTTATCTATTAAGTTATAGATCATACTAATGTTTTAATGACAGGATAGAGTGAATAGTAATTGAGTATTCTTCCTGAATATATTTCTTTTCAGTACCAATTACACATTAATTGTTGATGTTTAATTATTGTCTAAAAAATGTGATGTTGTGCTTTTCAATTTCTACTGTCAATTTCAATTCAGAATGATATTCATTGAAACAGTTAACCATATTGATCATATTTGGTCACAGGAATAATAGCAAATGTATTATCAACAGCTACAGTCAAATAATGGTAAAAGTTTGTATATGCAGGTTTTTCTAAAATTCTAAGACAATGCCTCCAAAAATAGGTGAGACAAAACTTTTATTTATTTGTATTTTACATTATTGTAAATAAAGTAAGTGGAATTGAGTATGAATTGAATCATAACTATAAATTCTTTATACGGGATTTTAAAGTGGGGTGCCATCAGTCTCCATCCATTTTCAATGCTGTTAATGAATAAATTACTTGGTATATTGGTAAAGAGGGAAAAAACATCAAATGAAATCAGTTTATGATTAACTGATATTTTTGTCTTTAATTTTATCAAATATGTTTTTAAAAGTTTTGAGTGAACCTTCTTTTAATGCTTATTACAGAATAGGACTACTTCACAAAAAATTAGCAATATTTCTTAAGGGGGTACTTAGAGAAGATATGATTATCCTACAGGAGTCATCTTTTTTCTGTATATTAGGTAAAGCATAGCACAGTAAGTGTGTGTGGCCAAAAATATATTGTATTCGTGTTCATTAATGTACTGCTTACCCTTTTACCTAATTAAAATATCATTGAGATCTGCAATTACTCTATTCATAGGATTACCACTATTGTATAAGTATTATCATTATGGTGGATTTTGATGATCTAAAACATTGTCTAAAATGATCAATAAAATGCTCTTAAAATGTTTTTAAAATGCCCTAAAACAAAGAAAAATAACGCAAAAAATTAGATTAAATCCATTTCAAATGAGCAACTCAAGCTGTTGGATATGATACTGAGTAATCAAGGCTTCTTCCTTTTGTTCAAGTGGAATCAACTTTTGGTTTGGACTGTTCTTTACCAGAAAATCTGTCTTTAGTTGTTCCAAAATTAGCTGACCCAACAGTAGCACTGATAGGCATCACAGAAACCTTAGATTACATACTTCTAATGACATCACAATTTCTGAGCGAAGAACTCGAATATGCTACTGAGTAATTCTGTGGAGAATATTTGTTGCATCTCGTAAATATTATTTGTAGCAAGTAACATGAAAATTATATTAGAACCAATTTAATCAGTGAAAAATGCTTTAAAAATAATGTAAAAATTACTTATTGGTTGAAATCGACAAAAAATGCAAAAGCCCCATTAAAACAGGTCATTTGAATTTGTCATAACATAAAATTAATGACTACACTAAAAGGCATTGCTCTAAAGTGAAAAGAAAGAACACGACATTTCATTAAAACCTACCCCGTAGATATCTTTCAATATAGTTTCTAGTTTTGCAACATGTTTGTCTCTACCGAGTGCTACAATAATGGCACCTTTCTCTGCTTGGGTGAAAATCACCTTTTTATTATTTTTGCATAATTACTGCATAGTTTTTATGTCAAAATTTAGTTATTTTAGAAAAGTGAGTTAATTCCTATTAAATTTATTGTGATTATCTTGATTGAGAAAAATAGTAACAAATTTGTTTCTGATGTGTTCTTTGACAGAATTTGATAGGTTGGGCTCACAGCCCACATCAAAATTGATAATACAACAGTTGTCGATTACATTCTTTGACACGGAGACACCATTTAAGACTGTTTCGTGAGTCACAATGTTATATCCAAATATAAAGTACTAATGTTTGTGCACAGTTCTCTCTTTCTTTTCTCTACATCTTTGGTAAGGAAGTAATTTAAGTTTAAATCACATAATGTTGAGGTTGTTTATTCTTGAGCTTCTTTTAAGGTTTTGTAATGATTTATTACATTGACCTGATCAAGGCCACATCCACCAGGCTGAAATAGACGGTAGACGTTTAACACATATAAAAACAAATTTGTGCATGTAATAATTTTTAAAACTTAAATCATTTTTGTATCTGTGCAACTCATATGTTTTGTAAAAGTCTGTAAAATTATATAGTAAAATTTTGAATATATTCTAAATTAATAAAATGGGGATAAACAAAAACATACTAAGAGCATATGCATACTTAGTATAAGTTGATCCCACACATGTACACATAAGTATAATAACAATAATGCAAAATGTATTTTAGAAGCAATAATTGGCATGAATTCAATGTCAGCAAATTAATAAAATCAATTTCACTTAATACATGCTTTTTCACTGACCAACTCAAATATGACAATTTATTATTTTAATTATTTTGAATCCCCCGCGTATTCCCCGATTTTTTCCCCTTTGCTTTTTCAGAGAATTTCAAATTTTGTGATAATTTCTAAGCTTTCTTGTTTTCCAGATTTACCACTACCCTGAAAATATTTATTTTGTTCTTGGAGCACACATTTACAAAGCGACAGAAAGCAGACAAAGTACTTACTTCACAAGTTTCCTGCGGTTATGTTTGGTATTCAGAGTCATTACAAAATCAACTGCAGCACTATCAATCATTTCCCTGTTAATACAATTTGGTAAGGCTGTTAGAAATGCATCCAGCAATATCTTGTTACTAGGATTTCCAACCGGTTCTGTATCTTCACATTCTGTAAATGTGTAGAAAAATCACAATTAAAATCAAAAAGCAAAACACTCTCCATAAATGATCGTTTTCAATTGAATTCATAAAACAAACAAGATCTAAAATGATATAACATAAATACCCTCTTCAGCAGTTCATACCACAAGTGTTTAGTGACACATCAAATCCCTTAACTACTCATGCCAATTACTTGCTTAAGTTGTAGTCTTGATGATGAAATTTACATAAACTGCCTCTGAAGTAACGATTAATGGTATTCCATAACTTGGGATCCATCCAAATGAACAATACATGTAAAACATTGCAAATTTCCTCTATTTACTTCGCCGTAAAAAAATCAAGTGCTACTAGCTTTGAAACTTCCAGTACACGAGTGTTTCCATGCAGATATGTCTCCTGCCATTTATTGATCAACCCTGATTAAGTCCTAGCAACAGATGTAGCACACATCTGCAGGTTCAGTTTATCGCAAATGTGCCCTAGGGCCCACTGACTCACTGATATAGGTAAACGGTTATTCCTGTAGTGCCCATCCACGATGGAACCCTACAAAGGGACACTCCATTGGATTGCCACAGTTGCTATGGGGATAGCAGAAAATGACATAGGCAGGGAAAGTGGGAGTGGCATTGGTTTCTAGCGTGCCTTACACTTGCAGGGGGTCATGAAGACACTTCCCCTAATCCCAAGCCAAGTGATTGGGAATGTATTAGTTCTCAACCACTCATCGAGGAGAGGCTAAGGCCAAAGATAATCTATCAAAGCATATTAAACATACATCCTGTAGTCACTAGAACTTGGTGGGGTTTGTACAGTGAATGGAATTAGACACAGTCTACTGACAAGATTTTGGTATCAAGGTGGCATGCAAGTGAGCAGCACAGACTCCTAAACTCCCATTGCCTCCATCTTAGGTTGTTATGGATAGCAAACAAAACTAAGCCAAGGAAGAAAGAGGGTGATGAGACACAAAGAAAACAAAGTAGTGGCAAGAAGATAGAAGATGGAGAAAGAAACACATGAAAGCCTTCTATGCCTCCTCTCATCTTGACATGGGCTGACCCACACGTGAATCCTGTAAATTCGGAACTCAACTTACATTTATATTTTATTACAATAAAAAAATCATTTACTTCAATACCAAATAAATATTGAATCTTACCACAAAAATTAAAACAAATATGAGCTACAACAGCACATATTTCTCACATTATTTGTAACTTTTGTAATTTGCGAAAATTCAGTGTTCAACGACAATGCACCCTGTGTAATTGTTTGAAGTATCCTTTTCCAACTAAAGAAACAATTTTAAAAATAAAAATTGGAGCCATTTTTTAGAAAAAAATTATAAATTGCCTGTACTTTAAGCAAAAATTACGTAAAAACTACAAGCTTTTTTTTAAAAAAAATTATAAGACCTTATTAAATGATATAGTTTTATGTAAAAGATTCCATTAAGAAAATGTCTCTATCATAAATATTATAGTATTGCTTTTTTTTTTTTTTGCAATTTATTAAATTCTGGAGAGTTCACTGAAAATTGGATCAATGACATTTTTAAAAGCATACTTTGCTCTATTTGAGAAAAAATTAAAGAGAAAATTTGGAGTCGTTTTTGAGAAAATAATTGAACATGACCTTACTTCACATTCTGCTTTTGAAGAACAGATGTCATAAATGAGAAAAAATCTCCATCTCCAATGTTGTAGTTGCAGGAAGATGGCAAAAAATGTTCAACTTTTGCAATTTTTTAAAATTCAGAGATTTCAACAAAAATGAGACCTGTGCCATGTTTCTAATAAGCCTTTGCTCTATTAAACGAAAAAATTTAATCTGAATATTTGTTGCCATTTTCGAGAGAATTTTGAAAATGTTAAAGCTTCGTATTAAGTACCCCCAAAAATCAAAAATTTGTTTCAAAATCGAAAGATCTCAGGTTCAGCTAAATCAATTCTGAAGAAAAGTTATAAAACAGTTTAGGAACTAGCGTTGATTGCACAATCAATTTGAGATTTATCTGCAGAAAAAAATACAATTGAACTGCTTTTCCATCGAGACCTTTGTCTTGACATTTTACATGGGCGTTCCATAATATTAGAGTTCAAAGATAACGAAAAAAATATTTTTTTTGTAAATAACGGCGTTACTATGCATTTTATATTGATTTACCTTATTACAAGGTTTGTTGAGAATTACATTTACCACATAATTGGTTCATATTATTATCCGTTTTGCATATCGCACACAGGATCCACAAAACAGTAATTCTAATGACACAAAGCATGACGGGAAGTACTTTACTACACATAGGAACAAGATTTATCCACTTCTTTGAAATCACAGTCCCATAATATGACTATTTATGATGAAAAATAGCAACTTTCTGTTGCAGCATTACAATTCTTTTCTTTACTACATAACTGGTTAGTACGTGATAGTAAAAGGTAAGTAACAAGATTTAATAACATAAATGTTTGTCATAATTTTGTTTGAACTAGCAGAATACCTCATGTGGTCTGCATATTTATTTATCACAATCATGAATTAGACAGGAAAAGGAATGAATTCTAACTGCATTGTACTTGGGCTCTACCCTGCTTCCCCCGGTCGGCCACACCTCGACCTGCCATATTTGCTATGCCATATTGCAACATTATTGTTACCACCATTATTGCTTTGATGGGCACATGAACACAATTTCATTAAGGTATCAAACTACAGATTTTATATATACAGGCTGTCTGGGGAGGAAATGTCAAAACTTCACAAATAAGCTCGTAAGACAATTTTAAGCATATTTTGTCTAATAAACTACTTGAATATTCCGAATGGCTAAACCGCCTTTTTTAATAAAAAATCCCATTTATATAATAAAAATGTAATTTTACTTTCAAAAACATTATATCTATTTATTAAAAAAAATAACATTTTTTCCTTAGCCCATATACCTTAAATGACAACCTGACATAAACAACTACCTCTCTTAATGAAAGTCTTATTCCACTGACTGAGCATTTTTGCAGGTGAAGTTAACTTACCATCAATTTCCACCAAAGTAACTTCTTCATCATTATCATTATCCCCACCAAATTCTCCTTCAAATTCAGCATCCAGTGTTTCTTCACTTATCTGAAAAAAAATAATAATTGAAAGGACAAATTATTATAATACCATAAAAATAACTGCATTTTAATAATTTGTAAAATTGTCAGTCACAATGCTATGAATTTAAGGGTAATGCTTTGATAAAAAAAATACATTCACAAACATGGACAAAGAAAATAGTCATCATTATTTTAATTATGTGCAATTGAAAGATATTCCATTAGGTTAAAGTAATATTCCCATATTCTAAATATTATACAAAATATTTTAATTTCTAATTTTGAGGACTAATGGCTTGATGCAGTTGTTGATACTTAATCTACACTTATACTATAATGGAAATTATTCAACTAATTAGTTAGGCAAACATTTTTCAAAAAAATTTCCATAGTAATTCATTAGTGACTACTACATAAGAAAGACATTTATCCTACTAGTTAGACTTTTAATTCATTCCCACTCCTTTCAAGGGGCATAGTTCAGTCATGAAAACTTTAAGGGATGACATTACAGAGAATTTTAGGACCAATAACGAGGGCATTTTTACCAAATGTTTCAAAATACTGGTGTCTTACCATTTATTAACATTATTACCTGAGGTTCTGGCTCAGCTATACGCACTTGAAGACTGGGCATAAATTCTTTCATATCTGGCAAATATTCATAAAAGCGTCTTGTTTCTTCATCTTCCCAAAGAGATGCTGTTAACGTGCCTTCTTCACTTTCACTACTTCCATTCAGTATTAATGTTTCATTTTTCAATGATTCTGAAAATAAATTGAACATGTTTTAAATTAAATATAAGAAAGATTTGACCAAAATAGTTACTACAATATGAAAAAAAAATTAGTAACTTCTTCTTTATGTGAAGCAAAAGTTAACTGGTGATGTCAATAACAATGATCAAATTATTTGAATTAATGAAATAAATTATTTCAGAATAATTTTGTGCTCCTAATTTTGAACGTCACTTTCAAAATTGCAACAGTAAACTATATTTCAAAATACAAGTAAAGGATCTTTTAGCCTCTTCAAACAGAAAATTTCCCTTGAGTCCTCAGGAACACTTCAGGCAACAATCAGAGAACTTTCTAGAAGATAGTTCTTGGGATGGCATCAGTGCCGTGTTAAAAAAAGTGCCTCAATGGCTGGAGTCCAGGGTTCCCGATAGTTGTTTAAAATATTATTGAATGCTAAATTTTTCAAAAAATAAAATAAAAACCCTATACAAAATAGATGTATGATTAAACTATATACAAAAAAATGGCATAACAGAGTGATGTGTCATGCATCATTAGATAATATTTATAATAAGGAATGCTGCTGGTTAATGCAAGAATGTCACTTAGTGATGAGAAGTTTAGTTGTTTTTTTTTTAAAACAAACCTTGTCTTTATTTGATTTGTAGTCTTTTTCAGTGTAATTATAAATCTGTTATTCTTACTTATATATTTATGATTAAATTTTTTGTTTGAATAATGTTAAATTGAAACACTGAGAAATACTTTCAAAATATTAAACAAAATTACAAAATACACTGTAAATTGATAGGATTTCCTTCATATTTCAGCAGGGAAATTGGAGGTGAAGGCAGAGATTGGTGAAAGTAAGAATAGTGGGAATTAACCAAAGCCCAAGGGACCCCAATGCTGTTAAAACAGCCCTGGATGTGATGACAGACATAAGACTGTTGAGGACAACTGTTATACTTTTGGTTCTCTTTTCAGTTGTGTCAAAATCAGTGCTGAGAAGTGGTTGACTTTGTGTTTTATGATCTTGTCGTTCTAAATTATTGCTGGAGCATACTGCTTTGGCTCCCATGCAACATTTATCACATTGTTAAAATTATTATGGATTATGGTTAATAAATGCCTTGTGAACATATAAATAGACATGATGTTTTTGTTACATTTCAGGAAAAGTGATTTCATCTTCACAAAATTGATGTTTGCCACAATTGCTACGTTTAGCTACCAATTCCTATATGTAACACAGTGTATTTTAAAAAATACCAAATGTGGTGACTTATGAATACGTGTTCAATTTTTTGAATTAACTTTCTTCTCAGATAGCGTAAAAAATTCTTTAAAAAAATACATGGGTCTCATTTTTATTGCAATCCTTGATTTTTCAAAAACTTCAAATGTTCAACTTTTTATTGGCACCTCCTTACACCTACAATATTGAAGATAAAGATGTTTCCCTAAACGAAGTTCGTTGTTTACAATCTTGAAATACGGTCATTTACAAATTTTCGAAAATACGATTTGTTTTCGCGTTAATTTGCGTTAAATAACGGCAATTTTGAGACAATTATTTCCTTAAAAAAAAGCACTCAATGATTCTTTAAATGTTCTCCTCGTATGTATCAAAGAATGATGATATCAATGGCGCGGGTTCCTTTATCGGCGTAAACGTAATGAAGAGAATGTGAAGTAAAGCTGCAAAAATCGATGTCGATATTTTGACGGAAATGCACGTTTTAGGGATCTTTAATAACTAAAAATAGTAGTTGTTTTCAAAACGTCTGACCGTCCTTTCCGTCCGTGTCCGAATAAAATTAGAATGTACAAATAGTTGACATTTCATGGTCACGTGATGACGCCAGCGCCGTAACCTAGGGAACAGCGAATTAGAAACTTCGACATTTGCACATTGTTGTCACCTAAAATGACGAAACAAATGAATCGCTTACCTCAAATGTGGTTTAGCTGAGCGAAGTTCAGAGAAGAGTTTTCCGTATGTTTTAACGTGCGTAACGTGTGCGTAATTTCTGAGTAACAGTGTTGCTGGATTTAGATTTGTTGGTTATAATTGTTTTAAACATTCCTTATCGTTGTTTGTTATTACTGTTTTGTTATCGACTATTGGGTAGCGCTTCGTTAGTGCTATGTCTCCTGACATGTCAGAAGAAAGAAGCGAACGCGGCCGAGGATTCATCCCATAAAGGAAAAAGAAGTCCGGTCGAAGCGTCCCTCTGAAAGGACAATCCCGCGAAAATAGTGTAAATGTTCGTGATTACTTTGAAAGACAAAAAACATTGGAAAACCACACAGCACAGCAAACAGCTGACGATTTGAATTGGCACGTGGACAGTGAAAGACGAGGATTAAAATAATAATAATAATAATTATAATAAAAATTGAGAGTACACACTATGCAGTGTCCTCAAATAAATAGTTACAAAGTTTGTTACTTTGTCATACGATAGTGGAGTTTAAGAATAATTGACGAAGGATCAGAAAAGGTAAGTTTCGTATTTATTATCTTTTTTTCACATGATACGAGTTACTCAACATTCCTTCCTTCGGGTTTATCTAGTTAGTGTTAAAAACACGTGGTAGAGCACACAATATGCGGCATCGCTATTCCCCTCTACATCAAATTGTCAACTATATTCTAATTTTATTCCTGCAATAGCGCAAAACAGTACACAGGATCTTCCTGATTTCGTGGTTCTTCGAATTTGAAACGGATTTTTAATGTTTTCCTGTACTTTACCTGAAATTCCTACATTTTCATAATTTCCTTACAAAAAAGTGCCAAAATGTTGGCTCGAATAAAGCAAAGTACGCTTATGAAATGGCGTAGGTTTGATTTGAGGTAAAACATCTGAAATTTCAAAACTGTAAAAGTTACAAATGTTTTCGATCCCACCTACGTCATTAAAGAAAACTAGAGGTGCTGCCAAAGCACATACTTTCTCGCATTGTTTCTAAATGTTCCACAACTTTATATTAGCACATAAATCAGCAAACATGTTTTCAAGCAGCAAATTATTTTTCGCTCCGACACTCGAACTCAAAAGTTAACGTGCAGGCACTCATACCACTAAGCCACAGAAGCGCCGTATGGATCGAACTCAGGCAAAGGCAAAAAAGGTGAATGACCGATTCATGTAAAAAAACACCCTTCAACAATCAAAATGTCCGTTAGAAACTCCCAAAGCCTCCAGTCCGTTCAGGGAATATCAATTTTGAAGAAAATCAACGGAATGGGAGGAGAATCAGGCACAACCGAAAACCTAATTCAGACCAGAGATCAGAAAACTAACTACTGCGAGAAAGTCTGTGCCATTCTATAGCTCCACTAGTTTTATTTTATTTATCATACGCTGTTACATACGAGGAGAAACGTCAATGAAAATATTTCGTAAGGGTTTTCAGAAAATATATATAGAAATAGCAAAACTTTCAGACACGAATTAAGTGAAATCAGCTTTGTACATAAACTTTTTTAAGTTTTTTTTTTTTTTTACAGCAGACTTTGTTTAAAGCAAAAATCGCTATCTCCGATTTTGTAGGTTTGAAATGTTCACGTTATTTTGGTATTTTCAAAAAAGAGATAGAGTACGAAAAAATTACTTTAAAAAACACGTGTGACTTTTTTAAAGATCTAATTTTGTCCCACAGACTTGGTTTGAGACGAAAATCTCTATCGACAATTTTCTAGTTTAAATTATTTTTTGCAAATTTTCGGAAACAAGAAACTGCGACTAGCACCTTATTTTTCACAGACCTTTATTATAGAAATGAAGAAAATTGTAGTGGTTTTTGAGGAAAAAATTGCTTTCATTTCAAGCGCAAATTTCGCAAAATCTACTCATTTTCTCAAAAACTTGTACACAACCTCTTTTAAGGAGCTAGTTTTGTACAACATACTTTGTTTAAGGCAAACATTTCTATCTTGAATTTTGTAATTTTAAGATTTTTTTTCTTCGAAAAATCGGGCATGTCAACGAAAATGAAATCTGAACCATTCTCAAAACGTCCTTCGCACTATTCAACAACAAAATTTAATTTTAAATAATGAGACCGTTTTTGAGAAAATTTTGAAAATGTTTTGAGGCTCCAAGTGAAGTACCCTCAAAAATCAAAATATGCGTTTGAAACTCCCGAAGACTCGACTTCATTAAGATCGATTGGGGAATATCAATTTAGAAGAAAATCGGCTGAACAGTTTAGGCGCTAGCGTTGACCACAGACTGGTCTGTTTTTCCGTCAATCGATTTTGCGGTATCAAGAACCCAAAAATTATGGATTCTGATTACAGCTCATGCTAGAAGATTTTTATTGGTACATTTAGCAACATGATTTATTCACTTTTTCCTTACCAGAGCCCAGCAATAAGAATTTTTCTGCCGAAAATTCGTAGTTTTCCGGCGCACGATTAGAAAACTTTCTCTTTTTAAGAAGTACTTTCGTACGGGCGAGAAGGTAAACACCTCTATCATCAATATCGCAATTATGAAATTTTTTTTGCAATTTTCGAAAATATAGAATTCGCCTAAAATGTGACTTGCGGAAACTTTTTAAAGTGTCTAATGCTCTACCTGAAGAATAAATTTAAAGATAATTATAAGAGGAATTTTGGAAAATATAAAGTTTAAAAATTGTCTATGTTTCCAATGTTTCTATGTCCTCTATTCTTCTAAGTCTCTAAAATTCCGCGGAAACTATTAATATATTCGAATACATAACCTTGTTTCAATATGTTTTAAGATTTTTTTATTTATTTAAGGTCGCATCAACATCTAGGTCATTAATGACCACTATTGCAATTATCGGTATGGTAACTGTGAAGATGACATGATAGGGTGATGATAGGGGGTGAAAAGACGAACACAAATACAATGCACGAGGCGGGACTCTCCGAAACTCTCCGAAACGTGATGACAGCAGTCATGATCTTGAAGTGTTCGTTTATAAATCAGAATAGTGGTGGTTCGAGTTCAGCAAAAGGAAAAGTCATTATTTTGTCGTTATATATTCACTTGTAGCAAAACATGAAAAACCTAAGACAAGAATGCTTATCGGAAAATAGTTTTATTTATTAGTTGCTAACGAGATTTTCGGTAACTATTACACAGTTTTGGTTGACACACACACTTCAAGAAGCCATGAGCAGTCACAGATCATGAATTGGAGCGAATTGGTAAAATTTTCGTACGAAGAAAAAACGAAGGCCTCTCCGTCAAATTAATGTGTTTATTTGGGGAACCTGCTTTCGACGGCTTTGCCGTCATCACCAGTCTCGCTGTTGTGGCAAAAATCGGGAGATTTTGAGAGTCGGGAGACTTTTGCCACAACAGCGAGACTGATGACGGCAAAATCGTCGAAAGCCGTCTCTCTAAATAAACATTAAGTTGACGGAGATGACATCTTTTATTTCTTCATGTAATTAAGTCAACAATACCACATAAGAATTCTCAAAAAAATTTCGCAAACATTCTAGTAACGAAAGTATTTGCAAACGAAGTTTCGTTAGAACCAGAGAAAGCAATGCGTAAATAAAAAAAGCGAAGAAACTGACAGAAGTTCGCAGTAGAACACGCTGGAAAAGGTGAAGGGTGAAGGAATATAATTATCTTCATTGATGGTTTCAAATTTAACATCCTTAGATACTATGGAAGAGTTGGGATGTACAGGAAATCAAACAAAGGTATCAAAGAATAAAATATACGTTTGGTCGCTGCTGCCAATACACGCACACACGCACGCGCACACATACACACACAGTCGTACAAGAAGCACGAAGGCTTCTTGGAGGAATTCGAGCATTTTCATAACGTAGTCGTCAATTTAAACATGAAAGTGAAATATTATCATGTTTGTTTGTTTGTTTACTCTTCATTGTCAAGTCATATTATTACCAAATATTAAAAGTTAAGGAATGAAAAAACGCAATTGCTATTGCCCTAAAAAAGGAATATCCTTCATTGACAAACCAACTGGAGAAAAGTTCAAGAGAATAATTGGCAAGGCTGACAAGATTTTAAGATGTCAACAGTATAACATGCCAATGTTTATATTAAAGACAAAATTATTTATAATGATTCAGTTATGCAAAATTCTATTTTTTTAAAAACATAGTTAAACAAGCTCAATCATTATCCAACCTCCGATTCAGATTAATCAAATTAAACTCCTGCTCTGTCAATATGGCAACATTGTTACAGTAAACATTTCAATGATAGAATCTCTGTAGGAAGAAACACCGAATGACCTCTATAACCTGGGCATCTACATAACATGGAAACAGCATGATTTTCAAGCAATGATTGTTATACCCTGGGTAAAAAGGAGATGAATTTTTAAATTTCTAGCATTATATTGGGGAATGCATGGCACGGCAGGTCGCATCCTCCAACAATAAACTGTATGACAGTTTTTTTTTTTTTTCTTTTCTACCTGCTTTTGAGGAATACTTGATAATATCTTTCTAGAAAATCAATGAAACTTTTGTTTTGTTAAATACATACATGTGCTTTCCTGTGATTATTAGCTGACTGCTTTTTCTCTAACGTTTCTAAGGCATAAACACTGCTCAATTTCCATTGGCAAAACTACATAGAACATTATGTATTTAAGATACATCGTCAATTTTTTGCAACTCTCTAAATGACGAACTTGCCAAGATGGATAATTTGCAAACAAACCGTCAAGTTCCATCATGGACATCTTTACTGTATAATGTAGTAGTAGTAGTAGCAGTAGCAGTAGCAGTAGTAGTAATATAATAATAATAATAATAATAATAATAATAATAATAATAATAATAATTCACAACACTAGAATTTTTGTAGGTACGGGCTCTTAGAATTCAATAATATGGATTGATATTGCATTATATTCATATCACAAGTTTTAAATTTTTTTTGTTTAATGGGTTTAATAATTTAAATTTCATTTCATTTTTTGTGCAAAGTACCATAGCAATACCAATTGTACTTAGTACTAGTTACACATTTGTGGTAAGGATGCAGGGCTCACTCTCTTTGTATCCTGCAAAACATACTTTTTATAAGAATTAATATTTACTTCCATGTTATTGAAATACATTACAAAATGCAATCATTTTTAGCAACCATCAATACACTTTTAAAATCTTTACAAACAATCTTAACAAAGCAAAGAAAAACATTCCACCCAATATGAGCAAAATAAAAGTTTGAATGAAACAAAATGAATTATATAAAGCTAGAGGTTGCAATTTACCATCTTCTGGAAGTAAAGGAAGATCTTCATCTAGAGCTTCAGCAAACTGCTGAGTGCCATTTGCAATTCGATTAAAGGACGTCTGAAGTATTTCTAGTCTTTCTTTACGTTCTGAACTGAGTTCTCCTTTAGTTTGCAAAATCTTCTTGTTTTGCCGAATGAAAGCCTGTAGTTCAAGGTGTTCCTGAAATGGAAAAGTGAGATAATATAAAGTACAATAATACAATGAAACTGGAATTTAGAACATACTATTTCCCTCTTTTATAAGTATTACAATTTTCAATAGTGGAAAAAAGAAAAGATAATAATTAATTTTTTCATTAGAACTTGGAAATTTCTTTATAAGGCTCTAACGTGCGCCAGGAAAGTCTCTCCGCAACCAGCCGAATGAGAAGCGTCTGTTACAAATTGAATTTTTATTATTATTATTATTATTATTATTATTATTATTATTATTATTATTATTATTATTACTATTACTACTATTATTATTGCATACAGTGGTAAGCTCTCACATTAGAGACAATCAAACAATTCATTTTTAATTTAGTTATGTTTTAATTGTAACTTGCATAAACCAGTGTTTCAAGATCTAATTGGTTGCTTTGGGTGTACTGTAACACTGATTTAAAAAAATTACAAATGTTTCTTTCATCTTGAAACTCATCGTAGTGGTTTAAGTAAGATACAAGTAAAACATAAGTAACTTAAAAATGAATTGTTTGATTGTCTGTAATACGAGAGGATACCACTGTATACAATAATATTAAATTAGATAGACAATCATTTTTGGTCGCCCTTTTTAACAAATTGCTTTTATGTCTGTAGAAATCTGTGAAACACGTGAAGATGGGAAGCAAGTGAAGGTAACAAAATTTCCAGCATCTGTTATGATTGTGGTGAGTATGCAATTTAAGTTTTCATTTGTTACAAGCTACATTTCATGCTTCCAACATAATCTGTCGTGCTAGCACTCTTACCAGCCCCTTGTGCCACTCTGGAGAGACTTTCCAGGCACAATATAGAAGAAATATTCAAATGACAAAATTTTTTTTGAAAAATTGTAATTACTCTTCGTTGAATCACATACTGGAAAATGTAAGTAAATATATGAAAATAGGGCGAATAACAATTTAGTACAACCAAAAGCATAAAAATGTTTCAGTTTGAAATAATTCCAAGGATACTTAAGTATGCAAACAGACAATTTTATGTTCTAGTGTTCCTTTCAAGATACTTGGACAATGCTTTTTGAATTGAATTGAATTGAATTGAATTTGCCTTATTTTACGTGGCGAGACCGCCACGGCCATCAGGCCCGCAAACTGACCACGCAAATTTCGCTACGCTCCTCACCAAGTAGCAGAAAGAAGGTATTTCTTGGGCGAGAAACAGGCGATTTGAATTTAGCTCAGGGGCGTCATTTAGGCTTGAGGATCTTTAACATGCAAGTAAATCTACGAACATGGGACAGCCGACTTTACTTCCCCTCCGAAGGATTTTGTCGCCCTAAAAATCCACGGCTTCGATCGGGTTTGAACCCGCGAGCTTGGGTATAACAGTCCGGTACGCTAACCGTCACACCATCGCCGCCGCTTGACATACGTTGGTATACTGTAATAGTGGTGTGGTCTTTTCTGTTAATGAAAAAGACCATATTGATACAGGTTAGTTTTATCCTACTTATGACGAGTTGTTGTGACAGTAATCCTGGTCAGTTATGTGCGCCCTAGGTTGTAAAATGTTTCCGCGCCCTTATCTTAATTTGCTTTTTAAGATAAAAGTTACTTACAATATTTTGAATATAATATTGTCGTAAATATTAACTGATGAAAATATTGCATACATACAAATAATTGATTATATACTTTCATTTTTTCACTTCAAACATTTTTAGATCACAAAATTAAAAATATAAGGTAGTTATAAAATAATTTGTATATTTGAGTATTATTTACAATTTATTACAAAAAATTTTGACATGAAAGTCGAAATAACATTTAGGTGTACATATAAAATATGTGTTGTCATACAGAATCTCATTTTCTCACTTTAGTCTTGGCAAATTTCTAAACAGTGTCATCAAATTCTACGTGTCCAAAATGTCATTTTCTATGTATAACAAAGATATGGAATTCAATGTATCTTGTTTAAGACTTGATCTCAGGTAATTTTTACCCGCTTCAAAGCAGAGAAAGATATTTCACCATTTGTATTAGTCACAGACGTCATTAAATAGTGTCTTAAAATAATCTCATTTGGAAGTATATCTTGTATCGACAATTTTTTTAATATTTGAAGAATACCCTCTGAATTACCATTTTCTACCTCCCCACACACACAAATGTGGCCCTTTATTTCCATACCGAATGAGATGGGCAGCCATAAACAGATCAAGTTTGGATATATACAGCCTAAGAAGTTTTTATTTTGTAATCAATCTCATTGTTAGCGTTTCTTTCTACAATTCTTTTCAAGACATTTCTCAAATATTCCGCTTCATTTTTGTGCTGTTTCGCATTGATGTTCGGAACTGTTAGAATGTTGAGAAATTCTGTTGCTGTTGATTTTTCCAGTCGTTAAGCCCTGTTGTAGCAAGCAAAGTAGTTCCACCATACAACTTGCAAGGAGCACAAAAGACATGTCCTGTAGATGGCAAATATACTAACCATAACCTTTTTACTTCATCATTTGTCATTGTTTTTGAGAAATATTGACGTTGATCAGCGTATTACCTTTTAGAGTCTAAATCGATGTTATCATTTTGCATTAATATATCTTTGGCCACCATTTCTCTAAAATCAAAGCAACGTTCCACTGTACTGGGTCGTTTGGGACTTGTAATATGTTTCTGTTATATGTTGTTGACGCTGATTTCTTTGCCTGTATTATCGGGCGGTTTTGCTGGCAGTATGCTCTAAGAATAGACGAAGTAAGATTCATATCAGCGGACGATTTTTGAGTAATTGCTGATGCGACTAATAAGCCAATTTTAGGTGTCTTTCTTATGACCTCATTTTCCCATTCTTGTCTCTTTTTTGCTTTCTTCCGATTCTCCGCACCACTTGGTTTCTTTACAACCGTACCAATATCATCACTCATTATTTCTTCCTATAAAAAAATGAACACGAAAAATACAGTATTTTTATACAAAACTACAAGTTTTGGTGCAAACAATTATACTGGCGTTTTTCATTAAATGAAACATGAAATATATGAAAATCAACATCAAATCTGAGGCGTTGGTGGTTTCTGGTCAACGGAATCGCAACGGACGCAGTGGTATGCGTGTCACCAGCCCATCCCCCAGCAGACGGCGTCGGACCGTCGATGCAGACATGACCACACCCGTTGCAGTGCTTTAAAATGGAGCCAAACCTGTTGACGTCGTTCTGTCGGTTACGGCCATGCGTACAAGATTTGGTCATCTCGCGCTGTGGTCACATTGTGAGGTCCAGTACCCTCTCGTCGTCGTGTACGATCATCCTCTATCTACTGGTTCTACACATGCATCACTGTCGTAGCAGCGCGCTTTATTCGAGCCGCAATGTCACTGTACGACAAACTCGCTTCCCAGAGACCGATCATTCTGCCCCGTTCGAACTCAGATGCTGATATTGCGAACTTTGCGTCGACGAGGCATACCGGCACTTGCATGCACGTTTCCACGTCGTTTGACGGCTCTACACGACTCTGACCTGACCTGTCACACGAAGGAGGGCGCTGCTAGGCCAACGTGCATGCCTTCTCTATGCAAATTTAATCAGTTCGTATGGATACACTGTTCTCTACGCATCCGCCGATTTTTAAGTGATTCCGACCATTCCTTCTGGGTGTAGCAATTTTCACAAACACCATTGTATATGTGCGAGTCAGATTATACTATCTGGAAAAGGGTAAATGCATTTTATAATACATACTAATACAGTACCGGCAACGTACAAGCTACTCGCACAGTTCTCTCGCCACGTGCTGTGGTACGTCGTGTGATTTGCCCTGAAGCAATCAGCTTGCGAGGATTTGTTTACTTTCTCACTGCTAGGATTCAGCGTTGTCGTTCATCTGACTCAAATGAAGTTGCGGAGTCAATAAGGGACGATTGTGGCGAACGTTATGAACAATACCAAGAGGTATTCTTTCCTGTCAGGAATGTGTTAATGTTTTAAGATTTCGCTTATCTGTCATGTAGGTGTTGCCATGTGTGTAGTGATGAGTGGCAACAGCGCTTCGAACTGTCAGAGTCGCTCATACGCTGCCGGTACTGAAGAATAGCATAATAGCTCCGGTGGATTCCTTCATGTTAAAAAGTTTTATTTGTGCTTTGCAAGTTCACAATAAAATTAATTTTAAATCGCATTATAGTTGCCCAGTTCATCCATTTCAGGCAAAGTTACACGAAAGTTAGTGTATAGGAAAGTGTGGTCAAGATAGGCTGCTCTTAACTCATTGAAGTGTTTTAGGGCGAAGTAGTACATCTGGAGAAATTGCTTAGTTTTTTGTTTACACATGGAAAAAGGAGTTTCCAGGGAGGAACAGGGTTGCAGAAGGATTTCACATGCGAGCGGAGGTGAACATTTAGGTCTTGTAGCAATTTTTGGAAACGGATACTTGGAGGTTTAGGCAGAGTTGGTTTAAGACCATAAACAGACTGATGGTTAGGGTATAGGATAACATGATCTGGGTTGCATGATCCGGTAGGTCTGAAAGCTTCGCTCCATAGGCTGCAAGCAGAACATCGCGTCTTTCTACTCAAAGGTGGAACGCCACAGTCTGCCAGGAGGCACTCGATGCGACAGGTGTAATAGGCTCCAGTGTCTATGCATTTCGCATTGCGCGTGTTGCCATTTGAAGGGTTGATATGGAAGCCGATTCATAAACAATAGCGCCATTGTCAAATACTGAACGAACGAGTGTTCTCTTGCAGAAGACAAATCTGGTCTGCTCCCCATGAAATCGCACCAAGCGTGAGGAGAATGAGAGAAGAAACACATCTGGACCGCGACCTACGGATATGGTTGCGCCACGTCTGAGATTTGTTGAAGGTGAGTCTCAGAAACCTAGCGTGGTCAACAAAAAAGGAGGTGCCCTCCTAGAAAAAGCTCGTGGTGGTTATAGGAATGGTAGATTCTGCAGAAGTGTAAGCAGCACGTTTTTGTCATTGAAAACTTTAAACCCGTGGAATCA